GAAGGAATGGGAATAAGATATTGGAAGAATAACAGGAGGAAGAACCAGTTGGGGTGGATATATGTGATATAGGATGAATGCCAGAGAAATAAGATGTACTAGGAAAATGAGAAACATTACAGCCTTAATCTGACTGGGTCTCTTGGCAATATCTAAGACCCACATCCGGCCGAAGGCCGGCTACGACTTGTAACAAAAGAAAACCATTCTTCCATCTCCAAATAACAAAAGAAAACATCCCCCACATAACCAATCATAGTGTAGGACGAATCTACGCGACGGCTACAACTACCTTGTCATAGCGGTCAAGTGAGGGCCATATCCTCCTCCCTTTCCTCCTCTCCAGGGGACGCTATAGGGCGGGAAGGACAAACTGGAGAGTGGAATTCGTGGGGTCCCTTGCAATGCACACACCTCAGAGTGGAATGGCTGCATGGGCGACCGCGGGAGGAGGGTACCATAACCTTGTTCTATCATATGTCTGTCACGTGGAAATATATGGTGGGATGGAGGGAAGGGAACTGCTAGGGAATGACGGTGTAACACACCTGTGGTGGAGGGAGTAGAACAGAGAAGAACTTGTACCCAACCGAGACGGAGGAAACGTGGCCTCCGTAATTGGTAATTGCGTGTTGATGTGGGGTGTTGCGCACCCCCTACCGTACCTGTCCTGTCGAGACGTTTGTGAAATGGACTGGGATTGCATGGTAGCGCACAGGGGTGCATTATGGCCCATGATTAATCTGAATAGGTCTAGTCAATTAATTAGCGTAAAATTAATTAAGGTATTATTAAGATAAAAACCAAGTAGAATAAGGGGAATCAGAGAATATATAGTGGATTCAAAGTGTTATGTGAATATCAACAACACAAAAATTTGGAAAAAATGACAACACCATGAGGCAAGACAACTTCAATGGCCAAACAGGGACAGGTTGTTGGATATGCAATGCTGGAAGGAACACAAAAGATGAGTTTAAAAGAAATTTCAGCAAAAACGGGAGTGTTAATAAGTACCTGCTCCAATATTATCAGAACTGCCCACCAGCGAGCCAGCAAAAATGAAAACCCAGACCTCTGCGCCAACGAGACTCTCAATCCACTACCAAACTTGGTAAAAGGTTCCAATGAAGCCTTGACCCAAGTGCAAAAGGACCATCTAGTAGAGATAACTCTACAAGATGCTGACCACTGCTATATGACCTTTATACAGTTAGCAGAAGCAGGTAGTTTTTTCTTCTTTTTTCTTTCTTAATTAAACAATAATGAACATGTAACTAATGATATTTTTTTAAAAGTAAAGCGGAACTTAGTGTAAGCAGACAAACTATTTCAAAAGTGCTGTGTGAAAATAAAATTTATCATCGAAAGCCAGTTCGAAAACTAACTCTCAACCCAGTACAAATGGCGAGAAGACTTGCTTTTTGTTACCAATATCAGAATTTTGACTGGAAGAACACCATCATTACTGATGAATCCTATTTCGAAACAGGGAATCTAAGATCCCACAGAGCCCATGGAGTACTTTGCTGTGCTGGAGAGGCCTATCTGCGACAAACATTAATAGAAAGTTTGCTCAAGGGGCAACAGTAATGTTCTGGGGCACAATCCTTTATGGAAAAGCTGGTATGTATGAGTATAATTTTAATTATTTAGTATTTCATAATTTTTGAATTTAAACCTTTTATTACTTCATTGTTTATTTAAGTTTAATTTATTTCTAATATGTACAAAATGATTAATGCTAATAAATTGTTAAATATATACAAGGCCATGAACTTCCCTATCATATATATGCTACGCCATATGAGACTGCCAACCAGTAGAAATAGGTACTTGTTGCTCTCCAGCAGGAGCACGAATTTGAGTTGGCAGCAAATACCAATGCCAGCTCTCTAGGATTGGAGATCCCATTTCCAGACTTGTAATTAAAGACTCGGAAGGTTGATCAGAGGGGGGGAATTGACTGGTATATTTACCGTGAACGAATTCTCAACCCTCTCCTGTACTCCTTCATGAGTCAGGCAAAAGCAGAGTTTCAGGAGAGGGATATCCTGATAATGGAGGATAATGCTCCAGCACATATCTACCATTACCATGAGATCCCTCGTAAGTGGCTTGGTTTTGCTAAACTTGTTTGGCCTGCTAACTCACCAGATTTAAATCTGATTGAGGCTATTTGGATGGCGCTCAAGGATATCCTATGAGAGAAAATTGGAGTACGAATGACTGTATGACATATTCATGTAGTTCTTGAAGTGGTGAGTGAAAATTCATATTTATTACATTCTACTCTTTCATCTAATACTATTTTAGGCTTGGAATAACTACCCAAAGGAGAGAGTCAATTCCTATACTGACTCTATGCCAGAACAGATGAGAGCTTGTATTGAAGATCACGGAGGAAATAATTTTAATTTTTAATGTTTAATTTTTTAATTTTAATTTATAATGTTTTTCTTAATTGCTTTATTTAATAATATTATTAAAATGTGAAATAAATTATCCTTGTTGCGTTTCCATTTGTGCTAAACTAAGTCCTTTTTGGGCTCTTATATGACACACTGCAAGTCCCTTGCGCCACCATGCGAGCCCAGTCCATTTCACAAACGTCTCGACAGGACAGGTATAGGGGTGGTTGCCAGACCTAGGCCTATCTCTTGTAAGCGGACAATATGAAGGGACACAGCTGGCCTATGTGGGGGAAGGTGTGTGCTAGGGCAACTAACAAATTAGCGGGTGGCAAACCAGTACTGTACGGTACAGTGCTGTACCGTACTCGAGGAGGTTCGCCAGCCAATCTCTTCCACCCGGGCACAGCCTGAGCCGTAGGCTGAGCAGGGGAATGCGCATCACCTTTTCGGGACTGGGGCTCAATGTCTCAGAAGGTCGCGTTGCGTTAAACGACCGGAACCACCTTTAGTAGCTTGGGGAAAATCAAAGGTCTTAGTAAGAGAACCATCCTAGCTATTGGCAGAGGCACCCGAATGTCCCCCGAGTACTGTAGTAGGCCGGTACTGTAAATCCGGTTGCCACACTGCCCTGTGGAATTTCGCGCGGCATGGGCCAAGTACTAGCACTTGAGTACTTGAGATGCCAGCAGCGCATTTGGGTTGTTTATAGTCTGAGAGTTCCAGCTCTGTACTGTGCTGTACAAGTACGAGTATCATACTCGTGTGCTGTACTGTACCCCAACTCGTACTCGTAGCGATTCTGATAGGATCAACTTTTTCAAAACGCAGGTGATTGTTTACTCCGGTAGACCTGCCCTCCAGCAACGGAGACTGTAATGTGTCGCGCACCTACTAGCATTAAAGCCTACCGGTAGGTGGGGAAAGAAAATTGATCGTTGCTCAAAATGGTAGCACAGGGGCGGATATATTCGGGTAATATCATACTTGGCTTGCATATGTGTAGATAGCTACTGGGCATGCAGTTGCTGTTTTTGTGTGCCAGTAGAAGCGCTGCGCATTTCGGAGCCCCGCTCTTGGAGTTCTTAAGAAGGGTTGCTGCAAAAAGATTCCCTCTACGAGTAGTTGCTGTATCCCGCCTCATCCCAGAATCCACTATCCGAAAGCATACCAAAAAAAAAAGCCCCGCCAGCTTCGAGGACCCACCTCGGAATTGAAGGCCGACCTTTATTCTTCTTTCCCTATTGAAAGATAGCGAGCTCTCATAGCAATTTACACTCCCACAACATTCGTGAGAAAGAAAATGGCGGAACCCTTCGGGTTTGCTGCTGGTGGCCTGGCCCTCATTCACCTCGGCGCAAAGGTTTATCAACATTGCGGTGAATACCGCGATGCAGTTAAGGAGAGCGAAAATGATTTCAAGAGACTAGCGGATGAGATCAGGAGTATTGGCGAGAAGCTGAAGGAAATACAGGCTCTTGCTGAACAAGGTGGCCAGAACAACCCAAAATACCCTGGACTTCGTGAATGGACGGAAAACGAAAGTTTGGGGCGTTATGCCAAAGCCCTCGAGAAACTAAAGAAAAAATTAGATGTCCCGGGAGGGAGGAAATTCTGGAGAAAGTTTTTTTGGCCGGTTCACAAGCCCAAAATGGACCGTTACATGAAATTGGTGGCAGAGGAGAGATCGGGACTTCAACAATTGTTGAGTACAGCCACAGCGTACGTCATCCGTTCTAGTCCCTCGAGAATCTAGCTTCTCCGCCCCCCCCTCCTTTACTTGGCAAGACTAAGTAGTTGTTTAGGAATAAGGTAACAATGGTTTTGGAAATCCTAGAGGGTAATTGGTCACATTTCCCCTAACCCTGCCAATTATTTTGCTACTAATATCGGATGTTCCTAAAACCCCAGAGAAGAAATTTCAGAAAGTACAGAAATGGCTTAACGTCGTTGATCCTACTTCCGATTATTCATCAATGCGCGAGCTTCGTGAACCTGATACGGGAACTTGGCTGCTCGAGGGACCCGAGTATATCAATTGGAAGGAAGGCCGAAAAGGACTTCTCTGGCTTCACGGTATACGTGAGTTTACACGCCTGTTCAAATCTTATGCTCCGAGGAAGGTCATTAATATTTGTCTCTTGTAGCCGGATGTGGAAAAAGTGTGCTAAGGTACGAACTCAACTGGGTATCCAAGGGCACACTATGATTTCCTGATTGCTAACTCTCTCTTTAGCGCTACCGTTATTAAGGATGTTGAAAATCTCTGTGAGTCGAAGGACGATCACGCATTGGCCTATTTCTATTTTACCTTCAGTGATTCGGAGAAGCAAAATTTGGTGAATATGCTTTTATCCCTCATTGGCCAACTTCCAAAAAGGCCCTCGGAGCGGGGTTTGCCACGCGAGGTTGTTGATCTGTACAAAAGCACCGGGGCAGTTAGAAAGTCGGCTGAAATTAAGGAACTGAAAAAAGTACTATCGCAGATTATAAAGGGTTTCGGGAGGACCTTTATCGTTTTAGATGCCTTGGACGAGGTCCCAACGAGGGTACGCGGAAGTCTGCTCAGTTGGATTGGCGAGCTCAAGGCGGATCACAATGCGGGATCGCTTTCGATTCTCGTCACTAGCCGTCCCGAGGCCGATATAGTGGGGTCACTGGAACAACTTAATGGGTTTTCAATATCCCTACAATCCAGCACCATCGATCCGGATATCCGTGCATATATACGGAAATCTCTAGTCGGCAAGAATGGTTTCAAGAAGTTTACACAAGAAATCAAAAGCGAGATAGAGAAAACGCTAGTTTCAGGTTCACAGGGAATGTGGGTTATCCCCAATCGTTGAATTTCTACTTATGCTAATCTTCTGGCGCGTCTTTTCAGGTTCCGATGGGTAGATTGTCTCCTGCGGATTCTGGAAGAATGTATGGAACCAAAAGCTGTGCGGGACGCATTGAGGGAACTCCCGGAAGACTTAGATTCTATCTACGCGAGGATCCTCGAGGCCATTCCTAAGAGGCAGAAGGAGTATATTCGGCGAGCGATGAATTGGCTAGCATTTTCGGCAGAACCATTGACCCTAAGCCAGCTCGCCGAGGCGGTTGTGATAGAATACAATGTCGACAAGTATGGCGAGGATTCGGAGAACCTTTTTGACACGTACTCCCTGATGAGCATTTGCCCTAGCCTTATTTCATTCGAAGATGCCAGGGACGGTGAATCCTCCAGCCAGGACAGCTGGCGATTACGACTAGCGCATTTCTCGGTAAAGGAATATTTGATCTCAGACCGGGCGGCGCGGGGCCCCAGTGCCTACTATCATATTTCGGAGGAGAAGGCCAATTTACGGATGGGGCACGCTTGTCTTGGTCGAATTCTCCGGCATAGCGGAGAAGGTACTATACGTGGGAACAAAGTCGAAAAAACGTCATTTCTCTACCACAGCGCTCGCCATTGGTTCACGTACTTTAGATCAATTGAGTATACGGCACCCACTCCACTCTTCGAGGCTGCGGTAAAGGTCCTCGAGCTTGGCCAAGCCTGGCTAGATATGTATGACCCCGACAATCCCTGGCAGTCTGATCCCCTGGATTCCAGGACTTACCCACCAGCAATCTACTATTGCTCTTTATTAAATTTAGTAACGGCCTTTAAATTACTAGTCAACAGGAAGGAGGAGGCGGTAAACGTGAATGCCCAGGGTGGCCATTATGGCAATGCACTGCAAGCAGCTGCAAAAAATGGAACCGAACCGATTGTGCGGCTTCTCCTCGAGCGTGGGGCAGATGTGAATGCTCGTGGCGGCTATTATGGCAATGCACTACAAGCAGCTGCAAAAAATGGAACCGAACCGATTGTGCGGCTTCTCCTCGAGCGTGGGGCAGATGTGAATGCTCTGGGTGGCTGTTACGGCAACGCACTACAAGCAGCTGCAGAAAGAGGAACC